GGGGGGGGGGGGGGGGGGGAGTTGTTAGTTCATTTAAGCGTGGACTTATGGGTGATGCAGAGGGTTTGCAATCCTTATGCGAGAAACCTTTTCTAACAACTTCATAAAAGATATGATGTGATGAGCCTTACCCCCCCGTCAATATCTTATAGATTGTAAGTAAATAAACAGCATCAGTTGTTCTCTTTGTTTCAATTTAGCGATTATAAATTTTCTCCGACGTTTACGCCACTAAGGGCTGGTTCTCTCAAGCGTGTTAATTTAATGTTCTCCACCTTTCATATTTGTTTAGGACGAAAGCCGCCAAGGTATGGCAGCTATAATCTGTCGGCAATGAAACATTGAAAGGAAAAGCTTCACAAACGTCGAATGTGGAAGCAGATTTCAATCCTTCCCAAACAGATCTTTCCTGAGAGATATTTCCATCCAGATGATTTTCCAAAAGTGTCGAGGGAAATTTGACTCTCTTTAAAACTGTCCTCATATTGATAAAATCGATTTACGCTTCTGGCGCTAAAAACGGCGGTTAATATAGAAGTGACCTTTATGCACGAACACTTAAATAATTTAAAAGTTTAACTTGGGGGTATATTTCTGTTTTAACAGCCTTTATTGTTTGGAACTATAGTGACAGTTCTCTTCCTTCTCTTATCTCTCTCTCTCGAAAAGCAAAGAGACTTTTTCAACGCCAACAAGTTAATTCCTGGTAAGTTATCGTACGAAAGGTGAACTCCTAAGCAAAACGTATCTATTGTACTACATCGAAAATTCAAAAAGCCCCGTTTTCTATTTGTCAAGAATTTTTACTGAATTGTGATTAAGAAAGAAGAAAACCGGCAGGTGTCTCATGCTTTCTACGCTGTTTACTCAAACCTCTCCAAATCGATAGTCCGTAAATTGCCTTTCGTTTAATTGGTTCCGTTAGTCTTGATCAAAATTGAGTAATATGCCACGAACACAATGAGCTTTTTTTCCGGTTCGTATGTATTCTTTCTTTACATCCTTAAATCATTTCAATATCTGCTGCCACGAAAGAATTACTTTAATTTCCATCTGTCGTCCTCCACAGGAAACGAATTACTCTTTTTGTTGGTCTAATCAATAAAATAGACAACTTAATCAAACAAGCTTCCCTCTCGTCCACGTATCTGCCTTTTTGCTAAAGAATATTGATTGACGATTTCCTCAATTGCGCATTTTGCTTTTTTTTTTTCATTGCGAAGTGTAATGGCTGGAGTTCAGCTTTTTTTGAACGGCGGCAAGAAATATTGATTTAAAGGCTCTAGTCGGGAAACGATGTTGATAAAGAAGAACTGTCGATCGGCTACTTTACAATGTTCTTGAACATAATTGAGAATTAGACCATGGCAAGTGTTTTCGGTTCTTCATTCATTTACTTTCCAACAACTGATGTTGAAATTTGACAAACTAGACTTTTACTTTTTCAATGAACGTAAACAACCGAACTTGTAATTCCGTCTTGATTCTAAAAGAAATGCATGAAAAACTTCCCATGTGAACAATGGTGGTTAAATGTACGTATGATTCAGTAAAACGAACGATATTTATTTCAGCGTTTATGTCCAACCAGGATTGTTAGTGAGTAAAGTTTCATAAGGATAACAGAAAAAAAAAAAAATGAAAGACAAGCTTACAGCCTTATCTTTATCTTCATAAGTTCGTTTTCATTTTTTTTTATTTGCCATTACATATAAAACGAAAACAATTGGTAA